ATCCATCCCATGTTGATTGGGGAACTGCCAGGAGAGAAGTAGGAGAGAATCATCGTTCTTGTTCTTTTCTTCAGCGTTCCTTGTCCCTGTCCCTGCAGGAGGCTACAGCACACTGCGTTTTGTCTGCCCCGCCTCCACCTGCAGATGTAAGAGGCCCACTTCCCTCCGAGCCTTTTTTGGAAGTTTCCTGTTGAGTCAATAACATCCGTCCTGAATCTTCCATCCGTGTACACTCTGAGCCTGCTTTCACCCAGGCCTAGGGGACTGGGGCATCAATAGGCTGGGGATTCTGCTGCTGTGCCCGACTCTACTAGGCATTTCCTGTAGGTTGGTTGCCATGGAGGAACTTTCTTCAGATACCCTACATAGTTATCTGTAGATGACATGCGATCCTCAGGGGGGGAGGGAATGGGACTTATTTTCAATAATTAATCTCCAACAACTCTACCCCCATCTACCATGAAGCCTCTGAGACCCTCGTGAGGAGATTTTTCTTTCCATCTAGTTGAAATCTCCTGGAGGAATCCACGTGGAGGCAATTTGCTTTTGTGATTGAAATTGCTTCGGCAGCAAGAGGGACGGTTCTGTACAGCCTTGGAGAAAATGCCTGATTTTAATGACCATGTAGAAGACTTCGGCTTTCAATTTATTCACAAGAAATAAGCAAAATTGAGCTCATTTGACTCACCATATCCATCTATTCAGTGTCTATGCATCTGCATATTCAAGAGAAAAATGTCAATATCCTGAGCTGTCAGGATGATACGATCTAGACGAGAGGCTTAGAAGCTATCCCAATCAAACATGCATTCTAAAAGAAATGCAAGGGAATTTATTATTGCTAAAACTAGCTACAAAGAAGAATGTCGAGTCACTTTCTTTTGATAGCCTATTGATTGGGCTTCTCCCTTAGAAGGTTAAGTTGGTGCCATCTCTGTATACATGTCCCCACAACAGAGGGCCTAAACATGTCATAAGACATTCTTAAAATCCAAGAACAGAACTCTACATTTTACAGGTCCAAAATTTTTGAGACAAAATGGACCCACACACAAAATTCTTGTTTAAAAACATTTCTTAAAAAAAGTTTTGATTCATTAAATATATTCAAACTACTTTCCCCAGCAGTTTTTTTAATTGAACTTTTTAGAATGATAAAGATATTTGCTTTTGTATAATATTGTAGTTATTGGCTCATATGACTACTAAACTCTTAAAAATGTGCCTAATACAGCTGAGGAAGGATGTTGTCTTAGTTAGGGTTGCTGTTGCTGTGATGAAACACCATGCATGATTAAAAGCAAGTTGGGGAGAAAAGGGTTTGTTTGACTTACATTTCATACAGCTGTGCATCATCAAAAGAAGTCAGGACAGGAACTCAAACTCGGCAGGAACCTGGTGGCAGGAGCTAATGCAGAAGCCATGGAGGGGTGCTGCTTACTGGCTTACTTGTTTCCTCCTGGCTTATAGAACCCAGGACAGCCAGCCCAGGGTTGGCACCACCCACAATGGGCTGGGCCCTCTCCCACCAACCACTAATTAATAAAATGCCTCACAACCAGATCTTATCTTATTCTCAATTGAGGCTCCCTCCTTTAAGGTAACTCTAGTTTGTGTGTCAAGTTGACATAAGAATAACTAACATGTGGGGCTGGAGCGATGGCTCAGTGGTTAAGAGCTTTGCCTGCTCTCTCAAAGGTCCTGAGTTCAATTCCCAGCAACCACATGTGCTCACAGCCATCTATAATGAGATTTGGTGCCCTCTTCTGGCTTGCAGGGACACATGCAGGCAGGACACTGAATAGATTATAAATAAGTAAATCTTTTCTTTTTAAAAGAAGAATAACTAGCATAGCTATTATAAAATATTATTTATTCTTAGTTAATTTAAGTGTGTGTCTAGTAGCTACTGAATTGGGTATTACAAATCCAACTCCACCGTGCTTTTCCTTGAAAAGCAAAACAAAATTTATATTGTTTCCTATCCCTAACTACATTAAGGTGAAGTGGGCGGCGGGGCTCTGTAGCATGTCAGCATTGGTCTCGGCAGCTTTTCCCAGAGGCACCTCTGCAGAGGCCAGGTCCCTTCCCCCTGATTCCATCCTGTGAGCTCTGGCCACCTGGGTCTCCCTGAAGCTTTGGTGCTCCAAATTGAGGAGTCTGGGTTCATCCTCCCTGTACCATGTCCTGGGAACCCAAAGGCATCAAAACTGTGTGTTTTATCCATAATTCATGGCCATATTCTGGTAACTTGATGACTTTATGAACAAGTTTTCCTGGTTTAGGATACATATATGTCTGATAGCCGTGCTTCAATGGTCATTCAGAAAATAGTAACAAACGCTTCCCAAGTATCACTTTGCCCTGAAGACTTGGTCCTCATCTTGGTCGCCTGGTAATTTGTAGGCAGCATTTTTGGATGAATACCTGAATCTAATGTTGCTAAGGAACTAAAGAGCCATTCCTAACTGTCCCCTTATCTTTCATGTCATCTGGTGACTCCCCCATGAAGGTCAGGTGATGCTATTTTGTTAGTGCTTTGAAGTCCTTATCCTGTTTCCACGAAAAGGACTTGAGTGGTAGAAAGGACCAGACGCAGCTCCCGTAACAACGCATGGGAAAGTTCTGAGAATAAAGGCTCCGTTTGGGGGCTCCACAAAGGACAACTGGAGTTTATGTCAGATACGAGGCTGGTTTGTTAAAAGTACTAATTACTGTCTTGGCTCTCCTTTGATGGCGATCGCACCAACGATTTCAAAGGAACCACATCGCATTTCTTTAGGCAGCACAGAAGTGGTAGGAAAAAAACTCAAAAGTGGAGTTATAAAGGTTAGCGTGAAGCCAATTAATTCTGCTCTGTTGTGAATTCTTAATTTCTTGGGGTCTTTCCTATTCCACCAACATTTTGCCACGTGATGTCTGAATATAATTCCGCCTTCAGTTCAAAGACTGTGTTGCTCCCCCCAACCCCGAGGCTGCTGGGAGATGAAAGAATATGGCAGCTGGGGTCCTGCTGGGTTAGGTTTGAGGCACAACTCAGGGGTTACATTGGCTCCCAATGTCCATCACCTCATTTCCAGTGCTGGGCTAGATGAGGGCTGAAGCCCTTCCCTGGGATCATCTGGGAACCATGTAGGCGAGAGCAGGTGACACGTGTACCAGAGAGAGAACCCACCCCAGATGAAGACAATAGTCCCGCTCCCAGCTCTCTCTACTGCAGCACACTGGAGGCTCATACTCCAACTCCCATTGTAAAATGGACTTTCCAGGCCCCGGGCTTCACTCCCTAGACAGTGTTGCCCAGCCTGTGTTCCGTGACCACACACCATGCTTTTACTGGATGGTGTTTTACCCACCACTGCCTGTAACACACGCTGACATCTCCAAGTTGAGCAATTCTGCATTAAAAGCATGTAGTCCTTGGGCTGTTATTTTTTTCTTCACAATTATCCCTAGCTCTGCCATTAGAACATCTGGGGGAGGCGGGTGAAGGAGTAGCGGAGCTGTCAATCTTTCTTATCTAAGGACTGCCTTGACTTAGCAAAGGAGAAGCAAGTATTCTGCCCGTCCTGAGCTGTTACTGGGCATCTGATTCTCTTGGCTTTGGTCTGGTCATGCTTTTCCCATCCCGGCCAATCGAGAGGCACAATTGCAGCTCAGTTTGTGTGGACCACACAGCATTAGGATACAGGGGGTAGATGCCAGCAGTTTCAAACTGAGCTCATCGGGGACATTTCAGATTCAAACTGTAACCCTTCCTCAAATTCCTCTTTTGTTTGCTCTTGCGAAGCACCGTCTTTGTGGAAGGCGGTACAGGGGTATTGTCATTTCCCTATAAAAAGAGCAAGAAAGATGATATGAAAGGCTGTGTAAAATGTGTTTCATAGATACTGTTTTAATTTTACTTAATGAGATGAACAAGGCTATAAATTCTAAAAAGGGCTGTGATCCAATTTGAAATTTGCTCTTTTGTTAAACAATTTCGGATCTATATAATACATTTTGGCCTTTCAGACATTCTATGCCAAATTAAAATTCAAGTTTATAGCTATGAAAGGGAATACTTGAAGATGTGAAATAATCCAACTGATATAATGAGGCAACACTATTAACATGAGTATATTCATAGACTTCATGCCCACTGATTGTTCTTATAATTAAATTGCCAATTCCATTCTTCCTTGACACCTTAAGATGGAAATTCTTGCTAGAAGAGATACTTAGCAGGTATAAAAAATACTGGGATGAGTGAAAGAGGGGACTTTTGTGGGTTTGGAGATGTTTGCTGTGTGAGGAAAGTAACTCTGTTAAAACTCGTGTTTACTGGATTATGCATCAACTAACTGGTTATACAATAATACCAAATGATCAGCTCTGAAAACGTGCATGCAAGTACCAATATCCAGACTGAGCAGGGTGCACGTATGTATTTAGGAATATATACAAGTATAAACATATGCATGTAGTACCATTGAGAAAAAAAGACCAAGAATTTAAAAGAGATAAGGGAGGGTTTGGATGGAGAAAAGAGGAGGGAAACGATGTAAGTAGATCTCAAAAAATAAAAAAAAAAGGGGAGGTGCCCAAGGATCCCGGTGAGAACCGGAGGGCGAGGCACGAATCACAGAGGAGCCAGGCAAGGTACGGTGTTAGGCACTTATAATCTCAGCTATTCAAGAGGCATGGGAGGATCACTTAAACCCAGAACGTTGAGGCCAACAGGAGCAACAGGGAGATCTATGTCCAAAACAGTGCAAGGGTGAAAACCAGAACACGCAGTTTGATAAAGGCCAAGGTGGCTTTATGACGTAGCTCCTCCTGAAGAAAAGCTGAGGCGCATGCTCCACCTGCCCTCTTTCGCCACGGCCTTGGGAATGGATACATCTGCCCACGTGCGGAAGGTCAGCAGGCCATGACAACGACCACAAGCCACCACCACCGTAACCGCAAAGCGCTCTATCTCCTGCCCTACTGACCCTCTGCGGCTGTCCTCTCTCAACTCGCAGCTCACAGAGATGGCCGCGAACAGTCAAGAGCACTTTGATGCTTATGAGGCATTGGATCTTACAGAATTTGGCAAAAACCAGCCTTGGTGGCGCAAACTTTTTGGGCAGGAGACACGGTCTGCGGGCGAGAAGTACAGTGTGGCAACCCAGCTCCTGATTGGCGGCATCACGGGCTGGTGCACTGGCTTCATATTCCAGAAAGTTGGAAAGCTGGCTGCCACAGCGGTGGGAGGGGGCATTATTCTCCTTGAGCTCGCAAACCATACTGGCCACATCAAAGTTGACTGGAATCGCGTAGAGAAGGACATGAAAAAGGCCAAGGAACAGCTGAAGATTCGGAAGAGCGCCCAATTACCAACTGAGGTCAAGAGCAAAGCTGAGGAGTTGGTGTCGTTCATAAAGCAGAATGTATTAGTAACTGGAGGATTTTTTGGAGGCTTTCTGCTCGGTATGGCATCCTAAAGGGGTATCACTCCACTCCCACGGTTCAGCAGCCTCTGTACACCATCGTAGAAAAATCCAGAGGCTTTCCACTTCCTCTTCATGCCTGCCCTCCTCCCTGTTGTAAATCTGAACCGCCTCCATGCGCATCTGCCCATGCAAGTTAACACAGGTCCTCCCATGGGCTTGACAAGCCACAGGGCAGCGCACTCTCCATCTGGAGGTCAACAGGAATGGTCCTTCCCCCGTGTGTAGAACCTGGCCCCAAACCATCTTTAAGATCTGTCCCTAACAGTCGAGCTGGAAGAGCGCTATGTGGAAAGAACTGAACATACCTGACTTTGAGCATGGGAAGAAAGTAAAGCAGGGACAGCTGTGGGAGTACTACCTGCTAGTCAGCTACTTACAGTCTCCTTACAGAACTTTACAAGTCAATTGATGCTTTCTTTTGCTCTGGACAACAACTCCAGCAAGCTGTAATTATAGCTCTCTTAGTTTGGAACTCAGAAGTGTGGCTCTCTTCAAAAAGGGCCCTAATCTAAATACCTGAAAGCTTCACTAAGACCTGTTTGTTTTTCTTTTTTTTTTGGGGGGGGGATAGGGTAGGGTGGGCCTAGGGCCTTGCTCCTACTACTCGTACTAGGCCAAGGGCTACCACTGAGCTATATTCCCAGGCTTTTAGGTATTTTTCATTTTGAGAGGTTTCACTAAATTGCTCTCGGGGCTTGGAACTTGACAATCTTATGTCTCAGCTTCCCGTGGAGGTGGGATTACAGGTCCAAGTCCCCGGGAACAGCTTCCCCAAGACCTTAAGAAAGAACTGAAGAATGCATCTCCGAGTCTACTTTGCCTCTTCTCAATCTTCTCATTTGCTTTTCCTCCCAGGATTAGTTTGCCATAACCCATCTACCTGGGCTTTCTACTTCAGGGCCTCGACTACTTCAATCAAACGTCAGCTGGGGGAAATTTTCACCTAGACGCTTCAAGAAGAAGAATCTGCTTTCAGGCCTAGGTCTGGGGCACAATTTCTATATTTGCAACTGTAGGATTGATTCACATTTTGTGCTTTGTCAACCAGAGGACCAGCTCAGCTCTGGGAGGCCATCCACACAGTTCATCTCACACGGACTTTGCTCTCGCCATACAAATCAGAAACAGCACTGATTTCTTTTCTTCATGACCAGGTGGAGAGAGAAGAGGGTCCTAGGGGTCCAACACCTCTGCAGAAAGGGCTGGTGTGTGTGTGTGCAATCCGTGTTTCCATTGCCTGTTGGTCAGAAGGTAAAAATCATAGGTTCTGCCCAAACTCAACACTGTGAGCAACGGAAAACGATAATCGTAAGGATTACCTTGGAAACTGTATGTTACACGGGAAGAAGAAACGGTTACTTCTCTGCCTTTGAGTATGTCTGGGTTTCCACCTTTAATACCAGGATTAGATCTTCATATTTCTACCAATGGGGGCGGGGGGGGGGAACCCTACTAAAACCACAAACTCCATAGACCTGAGCAACAACCATTTGTTTATAAGCTAATTGGGTCTTTACAGTTTAAATTACGTTTACATTCTTCCGTTCACTTTAAACTCTTACTTAAAAAACCAACCCTTCTAAAGGAAAATGTCAATTAGTACTTTGTTTTCTTTCGTTTTTTAAAGTCATTAAACAAATGGTAAATAAAAAAAAGAAAGATAAGTCATATTTTAGTTTTTCCAGCAGTTGAAATGCACTTCTCGAATGTAACACAACTCTGTAAGTTAATTTTATGATACTGAGGTATTTGAGAATGACCGTGTAAAAGAAATATTAGAAAACAGTGTCAAAAACTGTTCAAAGAGCTCTTTAGGATCAAATTGGGCTTTTCTTTTCTAACTGTTCAACCATCCACTTGACATTAATCAAGTGCCTTTGGGTGCTCGAGGTGTAGGGTCATACATACACAGCTATTATAGAATACCATAGCCTTTGCCCTGAGGAGTGTCCAATTGGCTCCCAGCCACCTACTGCAGCTCTACTAGATCCTAGGAATACTTCTAGCTTGTGGGCTTTAGGGAATTGAGTTGAGACCATAACTGCCTGTGAGGTGACTAGTGGCATGACCTCGCATCTTTCTAGGCTATCCTTTAAATCTCCCCTCTCCTTCATTTACTTTCTTTCCAATGGTTTATCACCTTTAGATGGAATCCAGATGTTCCCAATGTAAGCCCATTATGCTTAATGAGGGCTAGAGACTATATAGCCTTCATAGTTCCCATACATCATATAAAATGCCTAATTAATAGCTTCCTTTATTTAAAGCAGGGGAGGTGAAATATTTTTGGAAGACAGCTAAAATAAGCTACAGGAACATGCACCATCCTTTCCACAATAGTAACTTGCAAGCAGATGAACTGGTTCCCTCTTTAAATTAGTAACTTTGAGATCACTCTAAAAGCTAGACATGATCGCCCATGCTAGTCATGCCAGCACTTGGGGGTTAAGGCAGGAGAAATGTGAGTTCTAGGTAATTTGAGGTGAGTGCTAGGTAATTTGAGACATCCATACCACTCCAGACTAGACTTAGTCAAATAACTAGAACCTGCCTAAGTAAACACAAAAATACATGAAAATCATTTTAGACTATCTCTCAATATAAAGGTCATATCTGAAGTTCAGTTAAGCATAGTATAGTTTAATTTTCCATATACTTATTCTTCAATATTCTTATGAATAAAAACCTGTCTTAAAGCTGTATTTATTCATAGTTAACAACCTATTTATTTATTCATAGTTAATAACAAGCTATTCCAGGGCCTTATGCAATCAAAATGTGCCTTTTTCTCTTTTACCAAGGTGGGTGGGGTAGATAGCCAAGGCTGGTGAACCAGCTGGGGGATATACAGGAATCAGGCTTGGTCTCTTTTGCTCTGCTGTCATAGTGTACCATGTCCTTGTCTAAGTCATCACAGTGTGGCTGCTTACGTCTAAACAAGAGGGGAAACAAAGGCTTTGTTTAGGAAGGAAAAGTCCCACAGAGTCCGATACCTATGTTTCATAAGCCTGACAGGATCACCTGACCTTCTCTAGCTGCAAGAGAGTCTGAAAAGGTAAAGAAGTTCTAGCCTTTGTAATAGGGAAAATAGTGTAGCCTATCAACAGCATCTGCCATGACGGCTTCATTTAGATATGAATGTAACTTCCATTGTGTCTGTCCTCTGCAGCCTGTTGGTTTCACACTAACAGTGAAATTATAAAGGCAAGGTGCTCTCTAAATTACAACATGCGTTTCAGTCATATTGAAATGCTTACTGGAATTTTCAACATGCACGAAAGCTTAAGACCTTGCTTATCTTTCCTCTTATTCTGTACTTACTCCAGTAGAATTTCATGCTCTCAGCTAATGAACACAAAGGGTTTTTTTTGTGTGTGTATTTTTTCCTTTTTGTATTCTTTTATGGTAATTATTGGGACTTCCTGTTTCATCTTGAGTGCACATTTTTATTTTCCTATAGAGGTTCTGTTGTTCTTAGATTTATCTGTTTGTGTCTGAGAGTAGGGATTGCACCTTAATTACAATAAAGGAGAAAAATGTCAATTCACCAACTGGCTATGTACTCCTCTTTCCCCTTTATAAGGCACATTTCACCCTAACTCTGATTTATTGGGTTGAGTAGCTACATCGCGGCAGCTACCCATGCCAATCACGTACACCCTGATTACTAATTGTGAGCCTTAGGATACTCTACAGCTCACTAATGAGCGCGTTTTAATGCTGGCCAGTGCTAATTAGATGATAATCATGTGCATTATTTTATTTACAGTCTATCCATTTAAATTAATCGGGCATTTAATTGAGCACAGTTTGAAAGAACTGCAGTGGAGTTTGGTTGTTTATGGGAGTTCCGTTCGCTTGTCATCCTGTGCAGGTGAGATTATTCACTGACGCCTGAGATTCAGAAAATACAAAGGAACATAATGCCTATTTTACCACGGTGCCTGTGCGCATGCAAATTGCTCTCTAAGCATGCTAGGGAACAGCAATGAAATCTGCAGTTCCTTAAAAATTCTCTACTGACATCTTTCTGTGGCCTGATTACAGGGATATTTGCATGTATAAGAAATATATAATCAACCAAGCCCTTAGGAAAACAGATGAGATTAGATCCAAAGCCAGCCAGTCCTGTGAGAATGCTCTGATCACTTCTTTTTTTTTTTTTTTTTAAAAAAAAGGCAGATAGCTTTAAAAATTATGTTTTTCTTTTTTAATTTGGTGTGTCTGTCTCTCTGTCTGTCTCTCTCCCTCTGGGTGTGTGTGTGTGTGTGTGTGTGTGTGTGCATGCACACATACACGTATTGTGTATCAAAGGACAACTTGTAGAAATCTATTATCGTTCTCCTCTTCCACTATGTGGGACCTGAAGATCAAATTCAGGTCATCAGTTTGGCAGCAAGTGTCTTCACCCGCTGAGCCATCCCACAAATCCACCTATATTTCTTAAGATAGGAAACTTAAATTTAACACTTGACTAATACATGACAAAATACTCTTACTTGGGATCCCATATATTTCCCTCTACCAGGACACAATATCAGATATTCAGGCTCCCCGCTTCTGAATGAGCACCCCATTGCCGAAAGTTGCATGCTTGCATGCAGCGCTGAACTCATGGTCCTCCTTTTGCTGGGATGCTTTAGCCCATGTGCACGCAGAGCAGACGCAGAACCGTTGGAGTGAAAGAGCTTTGGATGAAAGAATCAGGAGGCCAGTCGTAGCAGTTAGGCTTCTATTGCTGTGATAACAACACAGCCAGAAGCAACTTGTCTGGGTAGTCCTTTCCCTCCCTTCAATTACTCAGAATTGCTTTATTTAAAAGGATAACATTTATTCATTCCTCTTGCGCACACTCCACATATGTCTTCCTAGGCAACAGGCGACCTCGCAGAGCATAGCCCCTCCTCACCGTCTGCAAACCTAACCAAGTGACTTGTAGTTTTCCTGATCCAAGAGTTGAGGACAAGCAAGTTTTACTACAGGCCTTAGTTCTTTTTTAGCAGTCATTTGTTCTGAACTTACTCGCCCCTGTTCTTTTCCATAACGAGAGGCACTTTCAGCAAGTCTGACCTTTCAGGTTAACCTGTTAGGTTATCTACCAGGCAACATCAAACGAGACATAACTATGGCAACAGTAACTGTCCATTTCAAAATATCCCAGCTCAGTCTTCCTCTGTAGGCAGCTAGTCATTTGATGGGCATGGGATGATGAAGCTATAAGCAGGATGGACTTGGGAGGAAGATGGAAGAGGGGGAGTTGCTGTAATAGCAGTATGGCCCATGAGCTGTTCTGTTATTTAATTTTCCATTGCTTCAATCATGAGCCATTTTCTGTATATTTAGTGTGTGTGTGTGTGCGTGTGAGTGTGTGTGTGTGATGTGAGTGTGCCAGCATGCACATGTTTCTGTGTGGTCATTTTCATAGAGTCCTAGTTTTATTTGGATAGCCAGAATTATCTTGTCTCTCTCTCAGTGTTTCCCTAATCTCTGCTTTGTCTGTCACCTGTCATTTCCTATCTCCTGGTGCCCTGTTGTGGTTGCTTTACTTGTTAAAGTGTGTTCTACTAATCTCAGCAGGTCTGTCTCCTCCTGAGAGAGAACCGAACAGAGAACAGCACACTCAGTGGATGCATGCTGTTGGACTTCATGGTGGGACTGTGTGTGGACGGGAAATTTTCCTTGGGAATTTTCCTAGCATCAGACCATAGATCTTCCGCTTTTATACTGACCAATTGCTCCAGCCAGAGAGTAATTCTTTGATCCCTGCCAGACAGGGCAGCTGCAAGATTTTCTGTTCATCTACAATATTATACCCAGGCACTCGGCTCTTGTACAGGACTCACCCCTTCAGTCGTAGCTTATGTCCCTACACTAAAGCCTGCCTGTGGGCAAGGGAAGCAGTAGCTAGCTAGTGTCCTTCAGGACCTGAACAAGGGCTACCAGCCTGTGGCAAGAGTGGGCTGTGCACCCACAAGATTTACACAGGTTTTCAGCCCATTCTTCTAACTTTGGGCTCATTTGTTTCCCTGACTCCTCCCTTCCAAAAGGACCCCGAGACTTTTGTATCTTAGCCTTTCCAGGGGTCTGTGGTAGGAAATGTATCTTCAGGCTCTTCCTGGTGAAGAGACTGCATGCCAATTTCCTCTTGTCTTTGAAATCCATTGTCACAAATTTAGCTCACACATCTTTTTTCCTGTCATCATTTTGAAATTTTCTTTATTCCTAAGGCTTCATGCCTCCTTTGATACGGTAAGAAGTGGTATTTAGTGGTATTCTGAAGAAAATGACAACCAAGGGTGTTTTTCTACGACGTTTAACCAGATTATTCTGTAATAGCTTCAGAAGCTGCTGCCATTCCCATTCTATGACCAGGATTTCACAGGAATAAGGGACATCAGGCAACGCGGGGCAGGGAAGGGATAGCAGAAGTCCTGGGAGAGAGTCCCCATTCCACACCGGCAGATCCGACTGTAGCGCACGGCAACACCAACACCCGAGTCTTCAATCTAAGTCAGTACACCTGACTGGTAACCTCTGCTATCCCTTAGCTCACCTTTCCCTCCCTAAGTCTGAGAGACTCCAGAATGTGAAAGGGCTCCTTTCGCAGGATTAGAGGTAAATGGATCTGCTTTTGTTCAGAAAACAAACAAAACTTCATCAAGAAATACCAGTAGCCTGTGTCCTTCAGCCTTGACCTTGATCTGACTCCAACAACAGCTGAGAGTACACGCAGGCTCGGTGTACAAGGAGCTTTCACAAGTGCAAGATGCAGACTCCAGACCCTCTCAATGATCCCGCCTCAGCGATCACCTCCCACTCAGGGCAGCGGTAGGCAAGCAGCTGCCCGACCTTGGCTTTTCACTCTCTCTGACCCTGGGTTCTTTCTTTTCTACACAGACATTTCAAACTGAATTATTACACTGAAGGTCACTCGAAATTAGCTTGGGTCCCAGCGAATGGCGATATCTGTATAACGTTTACGATGCTCTGTATCGGTACAACATCAGGCAGCCTTCCTGGACTTGCGGGTGAAGGTCTTGAGTAGGGTCAACTGAGGGGGGCTCCTGTGCTGACCAGCTTGTATTATGCTCCCTTCTGGGCCATCAGTTCTTCGTGGGTCCCCTTTTCAATCACCACTCCTTGGGACATAACGGCAATGATATCCGAGTTCTGGATGGTAGACAAGCGGTGGGCAATGACAATACAGGTCCGACCCTCTCTGGCTTTGTCCAGGGCAATCTGCACGGTCTACAGAAAGAAGATGGGGGATCAGTGGAAAGACACGGGATTGTTCCCAGACTCACTCCTGTGAGGGTCCATTTCAAACACCACCTGAGCAACAGCTCTGTGCTCAGGGGTCATCCCAAAGCCTGAGCACTAAGGGAGATTAAGCAGATGGCTGCACATACAACGCCTCTCTGCTTTATTTAAATTGCAGCCCACACGCTTGAGAAAGTTCAGGGAAGCAAGCATGAGCTAAACACAATGTCACCGTGCAATTTCACGATACCGGATTGTCCAATTTACAAGGATAAAACCAAAGAGCAGAGCAAGGGAGTAGTTAATGGTTTCTGATACTCCCTTCACTGAGGACATTTTAGCGTGCTCCAAAGTGGGAATCTCGATTTTAAAGCCTTAGATCATAAACTCTGAACTTCACAGTTGATTTTCTCTCGGCTACACGGTCTATGGACACTAGCCAAGGCTATCACCTCCTTTTAGGTGCTGTGTATCGGTTACTTACTCTGCCACATAATTTAAAAACTATAAAACATGTTAAGTTTCACAAATGACCTAAGTTGTTTTAATATATGTAAGAAAATTCTTGGCCTTTGAAAAATGCCATTTAACCTAAAGTACCTATAAGAGCAATTATTTCAAAGTGAATTTCTTTTTAGCGGCAGTCGCCCTGTTAGATTGCTATTTGTACATTACTATCTTCTGCGTCCAAAGAAAAATATTGTCAGTTTCTACTACAAACGAATAAGGCAACTGAAAATGTTATTTTACATGCACAAATCTTCCAGCAAAGACACCTCTAGTAACCTAAGAGCTTAGAAACTCATCACGAGGAGGGATTATATGAGCAATGGAGGTCAAGCTCATGACAGGGAAACCCAGAGACAGCTGACCTGAACTCCCGGGAGCTCACAAACTCCAGACCGACAGCTGAGGAGCCTGCATGGGCCCAACTAGGCTCTCTGCACCTGGGCTACAGTTGTTTGGCTTGGTCTGTGTGAGGGGCCCCTGGCAGTGGGACCAGGATCCATCCCTGATGCATGAGCTGACTTTTTGGACCCCATTCCCTGTGGTGGGATGCCTTGCTCAACCTTGATGCAGGGAGGAGGGGCTTGTTGACTCCCCATGGGAGATGGATTGGGGGAAATGGATTGGGGGAGATGGGGGAAGCAGGAGAAGGGGAAGGAAGGAGAAACTGGTTGGTATGTAAAATGAGTAAAAAAAAAACTTAAAATAAATTTTTTAAAAAAAAAAAAAGAAAATTAACACATACCTTCTCACTTTCTGTGTCTAGGGCCGATGTGGCTTCATCTAGTAGCAAGATTTTAGGATCTCGTACAATGGCCCGAGCAATAGCAATGCGTTGTTTCTCCCCTCGAGAGAGTTGAGAGCCCTGGCTTCCAACATTAGTTTCATATTTCTAGGAAAAAAAAAAAACCAACCATAGCAGGTTTGGAAACTAGAGAACACAGTCATTGCTCCTGGGCTGTTTGGGGCCCACAGCAATGGTTCTTCTGTGAGTTTACTTTTTTTTCCCTTTTTTGTGTTGCCTTTGAGCCTCGGCTCGATCCACAACCCTGCTACTTTCTGGGTAACCTGCCTCCCCACAGCACTGTGCTCCTGTATGGAACAGACGTGGTGCCTACCTCCGGGAGGGACATGACGAAGTCGTGCAGCTGAGCCTGCTTCGCGGCAGCTACGACTCTCTCCATGGAGATGTCTCTGGTGTTGTCCCCATATTTGATGTTTTCCAGGATGCTGCAGTCGAACAACACTGGCTCCTGGGAAACAATTCCAATGTTGGAACGCAGGAACTGGATGTTCACTTTTTTGCTGTCATGACCGTCTATCATCTGCCAAAAGAGATGACAACGAAAAACAAGAAGTTTTAGTTTGCCAGAGTGGAGTTAGGTCCTGGGCAGTGCATTTGTTCCGCTTCAGTGTAAGCATCCCTAGGGGCCCTGGGGAATAAATCTCATTGCCTGTGGCCCCTGGAACTTGTTTCTGACAGAAAGGCCTTCAAAGTTGACACTGATCAATCTGTTGTTTTGATGTTGTTTTTACTAAATTCTACCTCCACAGGTAGTATATAAATGAGAAAGGATCTTAGGAAAGCATTTAGTTAAGAAAAAAAAATTCTCCTTTTAAAAAAAAGAAAAAAAAATTCTCCTTATAGTTTGGCATAGCCTAGTCTGTTCAGATATGCCTACTTCTTTCTATTCTGAGGCTCTGTGAGTCTCCTCCAGGGGAGAGGGGTCAGGAAGAGGGATAGACAGATGCTATTAGATGACGTGAAGACCAAGCCCGTGTCCTTGGCTTTATTGACATTATTCCCTGGACAGATGAGATAATAAGCCTGGGGGAAAATGTAATTGTTCATTGAGCCACAATCACATATGGAATCAACCCCCAGGAGGCACCACATGAACAGCCTCTGGGTGCTGTGTGAGGACACAGCGTCTGTCTCCTAGGAACCCACAGCCCAGAAGTCAGGGAAGCCAGCCACAAAACACATGCTGTTTAAGCTGGTTCACATAAGATTCCAAAGATTGCATCCCAAAGGTGTAGGAAATCTAACATGAATCGTAAAACATTTGACTGTAGGATTTCAGGCAAAAAAAAGAGATTATTTCAAATAATGTGAGCAGGATATAATTTAGATCATTTCTAAGCAATGGAAAAGGAAAGCACTATTTTAAAAAGAAAAGGCTGAGTGCAGCAGCCCTCAGTAAGAGTTAGTCCTTACTAGGCCTGAGGTATTTCCCATTGTACCTATTTCTGAAAAGCACAACTTAATATTTAGTCAGAATTGAGCTTTTTGCTAGCTGCTGTATATGTGCTAGGAAACAGAAGTTCTAGTCCATGTTCCTGAAGAATCTCCCATAGACAGTACGGGACATGGCGTAGATGCCTAATTACATATTGAACATACGGTACCTGTGTTTGGTAGCTTCTCTCAAAGCAAAGAAGATTTTTTTTTAAAGAATTGATTAAAGCAGTATTTTCCTGCTTACAGTTTTCATAGATGCATTTTATAATGAACTTACAAAATATACTGTGCTTCTTGCATGCAAGAAATCATAAAATGATTGCTTCCTTCCAGTGAGCAGAAAATTCAGTGTATGCAAAAGAGAAACATTGATGTGGAATTCCCCTCTGTATGCTGTGAATACCATTGGTTTATATAGGAACTGCTTTGGGCCTATAACCGAGCTATAGGGGAACAGAGCTAGGCGGAGAAAACTAAACTGAATGTTGGGATGAACAAGGCGGAGTCAGAGAGAAGCCGTAGAGCTGCCGCTAGAGACAGATGCGCTGAAACTTAGTTGGTAGGCCATAACCTCGTGGAGATGCACAGATTAATGGAGATGGGTTAAATTAAGATGTAAGAGTTAGCCAATAAGAAGCTAGAGCTAATGGGCCAAGCAGTGATTTAATTAATACAGTTTCTGTGTGACTATTTCAGGGCTAAGTGGCCGGGAACAAACAAGCATCCCCTCCTTCAACAAATTCTCTCCCTGCAACAAAACATACTTAGTATACATGTTAAGTATGAAAGATCAAACATGGCGAAGTCAAGCTGCAGCAGTTCACATCTACCTGGACAACAGACATGGCAGAGACGACATTTTGGAATATGGAGCCCTTTCCCTTTTAGAGATCAGGGCAATGCACTTCCCACGTTCATCAGCCACCAAATCCTTGCAAATAAATTAAAATCTTTACATCTAAAATCAATAACAGCAAGGGTCATAAGCCACAAGGAATCAATTCCTACTCCTTATTTTCATCCCTCCTGGATTCTGCTAATATCTACTGGTTTCTTTGCTCTATGCGAGAGAACCTCATCTTTCTCTCAGTATTTCTCTTCAAAAATGTTACCTGCTCCTGTTGCAATGAAGATTACACTATTTAGGAAGATTAGAAGGAGCATTTTTTTTTTGAAATACTGGGGTGTGTTGGAGAAAAGTTAGAAAAAAATCAGCAGAAAGTCTAAGTGAGTTAATTCATGAAACAGAAATCGGAGCGTCTAGAGACACAGGAGTAATAATGAGTAGGAGAACTCAAAACATGAAATGGTGAAGTAAGTTGTCTCTGAGCAAACAAAGAGGAATGTGATTTTTTTATGAAAAATCTTTTTTATTTGGTTGTAAAGTCTGGTGAATATATTACCTGAGAAGAAAGAGGGAGGAAAAGAGAGAAATAAACACTCAGAATAAGGACTAAAGCAGCTCACCAATATTTCAACCGTCTACGCCAGGGCTTTGTCAGTGTGAGTTTATCTGTAAGTTAGGCTTAATCTTTTTGGGCCAGGATTGTCTCGAGTTTTTCATGCTTGCTCCCTTGTCTCGCTTACTTATCACTGTGTTCCTCGTTACCCCATTTTTTTTCCATCCCCAGCCATTAGTTTCTTGATTAGTCTGCCCTTTCTGCTCCATTTACAGGTAAACAGAGGCCTCTCAAACATGCTCATCTCGAGTTTTGCATTGTGTCCCGTTTTTTTCCTTAACTGGTCAACAGATCATCTGGAACTGGGAAGAATATGCCGTTAGAAGCTGTGGAGCAGAATCAGGTCAACCAGCCAACGAAGGAAATGAAAACATGCACAGGGCTAAGGGGAAAGACAAACTGATCTGGCAAGGCGCAGTGTTGGAGACCACCTGGAGGCAGATCTTACTGAGAAAGCAAAATCGTTAGGAGTATTGGCACCACTTACCACCTTCCCCTGATCAGGGTCATAGAACCGCTCCAATAGCTGAATGCTGGTGCTCTTGCCACAGCCGCTGCTTCCAACAAAAGCCAGTGTCTGCCCTGGATCCACAGACACCGAGAGACCATTCAGAACTTGGGTTTCTGGTCGTGAAGGATATGTAAATTTGCAGTCAATAAAATCAATCTTCCCTTGGAAGTTGTCCTGTGAACGAGAGGACCAGAATTACATGTGTAATTCTGTGGAGCTGAGAACACAGAGGATGTACCTAAATGTACACAATGGTATGGAATTATGCATTAGGAAACAACAACTCAGTGGGTGACATTCTAGTCTGGATCTCGGTACACAGCAGTAATCCCAGAACTCAGGAAGCCGAGGCAGGAAGAGAGTGAGTTCGCTGGAGGCCAGCCTGGGCTACTTAGGGAGATTCTGCTTCAAAACAAGCAAGCAGGTGAATACCACTACAAAATGACACTTTTTTTTTCCTCAATTGTGGTGATGGAAAACAACTGATATAATTACACATTGTTGTCTTATTCAAATGTCAATGTAACGTCTGATTTTTCATGTCAATTATTTCCTTTCTTTACATCCATAAATCCCTTGTTTGTCCACTCCCGGTGCATATGGATGGACACAGGCTGCTAAAATTTAGACTCCAAAATGACCTCATCTGACCATCTTCAGTGGCTTTTTCTGCATACAAACACATGCACATGCATGAACATGCATGTACATACATGTGCACGCGCGTGCACACACACACACACACACATACTTCTCCCAGTCCAGTACTTACCCACTTTTCACCTGCTCCGCTGTAGACACTAATTGGAGGTTTTCGGTCTAGCAGCTGAAAAAAGCGTGCAGCTGATATTTTAGCTTTGGCAAAACTTGGGGTGTAAGAGAAGGTTCTTCCCACAGCTGTTGCACTCATCATCACTGAAGAGGCTGTCCTGCAACCAAACACCCAGGAACTGAGAAGTGGGGTACGGGGAGTATGAATGCTTAAGAGGCAAAAGTTTTGGGTGCTAGCCCCAAACGACTCAAGCAAGTCACTTTAGATATGTCTGATCTTGTGGGAGTTAGAAAGTTTTATAGTTTTCAAATTATGCTCTCTACAAAAGGGTCCAGGGTTAGGCTGATTGGGATAGGGTTCAGGCCTCCAAATCCCAGATGTGCCACATTAGAACATTTTTGATGGTGGGGGAAGAGTGGAGGAGACTTTTGAAAAATTATTTTTGAGAGAAATTTGATGACCAGATTAAGCTGGCTTTTCTTCCCACTGTCCTGAATTCTGGCAGCTGGGGAAAAGATGGAGGCAGAGCAGGCAATGGAAGGACCTAGTCTATACCGCACATACAAGGCATGCTTCGTGTGAGATAGGGGAAATGCAGTTGTCTGTAGCCTTCTGTTTGTCCCAGCTGCTGCTAACTATATCAAACAGACTTCAGGAATGAACGAGCAGATTACTAAATTAGTTCTGAGGGACAACCATGCTGCTGCCTGGCTCTTGATGTGCATAGCACCCCATAAGGCTGCCCATCAGTGCCATCTTCCAGAGGGTGGAAACAGGGTGGAATGAAAAGTAGAGCGTGTGCAAGTGTGTATCTTACTGCTCGGCTTGTAACCAGTGATTGTTCCAATGGGGTTGGAAACCCACATTCTCCAGGAGCCCAGAAGGCTGAAGAAGATGAAAGCTTTGGGGATACGTTAGGAAATGCTTAAGGATGTCTGTCTAGTTCTTAAAGCAACACCAGCAGCTGGAAGCTTTCTCTAGGCTCTTGATGCTCACATACTGGCCAAGAATTTGTTCCATACCTCGTATGCACTGGCAGAGAGAACTCAAGGATTGCTGTTTCCTGGTCTGGGTTAACAGCTTTAAATATGCAAGGGCTTAGAGAAGAGATGTTCCTAGTTGATGTGGGTATAGTGGGCTAGCAGGAAAGTTCTGGAAGGAAGGGATCAGGTGAGAGGATCACGTCCTTCAAACCTAAGATTGCCTCTGCCCTCACTACCTCCCACTACCACCCTCATGTAAGGATGAGGCCTCATTCTTAGGCCCACCCCTCGGGAAGCAAGCAGACTCTGCCTCAAAGAACAGAAGTCCCCTCCTCTGGCCTACCCTGTCTCTTTTCAGGGAAAGTACCTAGAAACCAGTTGTCTTTGCAAGTGAGGAACAGAGTTCAACTACAACTTTCCTTGGGCCCATCTTGTTCCAGGCTTTGAGGACCTCAGCTTTAATAAGCATAAATTTAATTACAATGATTCATCTGGTGATTCATCTGTCTGGGATCATCTTCTCTTTTCCACTCCTCAGTCCAAACATGGGCTTTGTGTCTCAAATCCTTAAACCTAGGCTTCATTGTGTGAGTTTCTTTTGCCAAAGAGCCCTCGGTAAATGAAACATGAAGAGGCTTGACCATGCTTACAACGTAGGACATTCTGCTTCTGTTGAATATGAGCCCCTAAAATAATTCATGAAAGAAGCAAGCTCAGTTGCTACCAAGGCCTTCTGGAGACAAACACAAACACAGAAGTCTGTGAGGCAGCCAAGTCCAGAGGAAGTGTCTCACACCTCATAGAAGTTTGAAAAAGAACAAACCCAGCTGCTTTTAGAGGAAATGGTTTGCTGGGCAGCAAGGGTGTTAAGGAACAGACCCAGGCGTTCCCCCTGGAGTGTCCATCTCGTGTGGTCATTTTGGAGATGGCTCACCTGAAAACATAGCTGAAGTGCAGCCCTTCCTCGGCAATCAGGTAACCTCCGTATCTGTAGGCAGAAGAGCTGGCGAAATACGACACAGCCTGGGAAAAGGCGAAGCAGAGCCCGTAGACGTTCGCCTTCTTCACGGATGTTCTGTATGACGTTTCCAGCTCAGCTTCAAACGCTTTAATAAATCTCTTCTCCACGCCCATCCCTGCAACGGTGCGGATGTTGCCAAGGGCTTCGCTGGTGATCTGAAAAGGCAAGGGTCCGAGGAATCAAAAAGAAGGTCTGTCCCTTTCCATGACACTTCAGCCATTTCACAGATTAGAGTGCTCACAAATGGCAGGAAGTAACACAGAGAGGTGGCCGGGGTCAACTCAACTGGACCATGGGGCCATCTGTCACTTAGACTCAGCCTGGTTCTAGCAGGGCTTCACTGCCTCTACTCACGGCGGGGGTAGGGGGAGACGGTGTGACACAAGGTCTCCCATGCTTCTCCTGGACATGCTTTAACATTTCTCTGCTAATTCATTTGAAATATCTAAAACACTGTCTTTGGATGTCTTCTGGAACAAAAAAGGCACTTGATAAAATTTAAGTTACTTGAGACTATTTTCTAAAAAGTTGCTGTCCGGCAAACCATTCTCTCTAAAAGCAGCTAACTGAATATGGTTAAAGTTAAATATAAGTTAATCTTCAGTCTACATGGTGAGCATGTGTGTAAAATACAGTTTAAGCTCCACTCTACATAAACTGGGGTACACCTTATTAGAGATGCTATTTTCTACACTGGCATCTAAAATGTCTTGTCTACTTGGACAGCATCATATTCTCTTGTCTCAACTAGAACGCAGTCATGAGTGAGTTTATGAAGCATGAGTGTGTGACTCAGGCCTGGTAGTAAAAGCCCAGCATGGTAATGATTGGGAGGCTAAGGTAGGAAGATCCTATGTTCAAGATCTGCTTGGTCTCCAATGTGAATTCAAGGCTATCTGGGCAACCTGGATGGATGGATGGATAGATAGATAGATAGATAGATAGATAGATAGATAGATGATAGATATAAGATAAAAAAATTACAAAGACAGTAATTAAAAAGAAGAATTGGGGTATGCCTCAGTTTTAATGTGCTTACTTTGCATAGTAAGCTCTAGTCCCTATGTTCAGGCTCTAGAATCAAAAAAAAAAAAAGAAAAAGAAAAACAAAAGAAATGCATGTTATATGTGATTGATTGGTCTCTAGGTTCGTATCTCCTTCCCTTCTTCACTTCCAGTGTGTTATTGTTTTTGAGACAGCATCTAGTACCCAGGTTGAACTCTTAACTTACTATGTAGCTGAGGATAGCCTCGAACTTCTGATCCTTTGAGCTCCATTCCATGGTGTTTATTTTTCAATTGACTATGTCTATGCCATCATCCTCTCACTTATTTTTATGTTTAGATATTAATTATAACATAAAAATTAGAATACCTAAAACCTGAAGGTACTCGAATTCTACTCTGTAGTTCTTGATTGTATTTGAGAAAGACATTTGCCACTAGTCTAGCAAACGCTAAAGTGTCAAAGTTGAAAGCATGTTTTCTGTGTGGATAACAAAACCTTGGGTAATCTGTCAATATAAGAGAACAGGAGAAGCAACTTTAATAGAACTTCTCACCTCTGCAAGTGAGAACATAGAAAATGTAGGAGGGATAATTGAGGAAACCAAACATACAAGCTTCTCCTTGCCTGATCAAGTGTATGCACCGAAGCCTTATTGTCATAGCCTTCAGGCAGGGGCACGTGTGTCTCTCGGTACTTATCATTTTAAATGGTTTCCTTGACAACCGCTCAGCCACAAGTAGGAAAAATAGGTCTAGAAGATTACCTGGCCAGCCTTCTCCAGAGCCTGCTTATCTTGAGATGCGAATCCTGTCAGCATTTTTGTTTGCAGGGCTCCCGAAAAAGCCAAGAAGGGGAAGAAGCAGAGCACAAGCAGACTGAGCTTCCAGCTGAAGATGAAGGCGATGAGGATGGCCGTTGCGATGTTAGTGAAGGAGTTGACCATCATCCCGACTTGAGAGCCAGCAGCCTGCAAATCAAAGGCAACCAGGCTGTCACAGACATTGTCCCTTTCCCTTGAATGTGAAAAGCCATTTTCTATCAAAAGGTAAATTCTTTTTATTGTGATAAAATATATAGGAAGATATTTCGTTTTTGAGACATTCCTAAGTACATAAGGCAGGGAAATGAAGAGAAACCGAACAAACAACTCTCCAGCAAAAACAAACGAACGAAGAACGCTCACAGTGTTGTGTGGCCATCACATCCACACTCAATCTTCCCACTCTCTCCGTCTTTACCTATCAAATGATCACTTCACCTCCCTCCCCTGAGCCACTGGGAATCGTTATTCCACTCTCTGTATGAATTGTGTTTTTAGGTACCTCTTATAATGGAGTTGAGGCATACCACACACAACACTCCTAATACGAGGAGGGTTGTTTCTTTTTCTTTTCTTTTCTTTTCTTTTCTTTCCTTTTTTTTTTTTAATCCCAAGCTCCATCAATCATGCTCGCTTTCTTCTCACTTAGAAAGTTGGTAGAGATTTGGGAGGTAAATTTGGCTCCCATCATTTTAGTCCCC